ACTGGACGATAATTGGCCAGCTCATCTGGGTCCAGGGAAGGCTTCTTGAGGAGGGGCCTCACAACGGCCTCCTTAAGGGCCGCAGGAAAGGCACCCTCCTGCAAAGAAGCGTTAACAATTCCCTGGAGCCAGGCTCGTGTACCCTCCCGGGCTGCCAGTACCAGCCAGGAGGGGCACGGATCCAACAAACATGTGGTTGTATTCAGCCCTCCCAAGACCCTGTCCACATCCTCGGGAGCAACAGAGTCAAACTCCTCCCATACAACCGTCTCAAGACCTGCTTCCGTCTCCTCCCCCTGGGCCAACCAGTCGGAGTCCAAGCCTTCTCGGATCCGCACGACTTTGTCATGCAGATATTGCGCAAAGTCCTCGGCCCTCCCCTCCAGGGGATCCCCCCTCCCCTCAGTTGGAGGAGAGAGCGGGTCAGCCTGAAGAGGGCGGCCGGGCGGTTATCTGATGACGCGATGAGCGAGGAATAGTAGTTAGTCCTAGCCACCCTCATCGCCACTAGGTAGGATCTAACATGTATCCTAACCTGTGTTCGGTCGGGTTCGGTTCGGCTGGCCCTCCAACTGCTCTCTAGGCTTCTTTTCTGACGTTTCATCTCTCTCAGCTCCTCGGTGAACCAGGGAGCCAATCGAGATCTACGTCGAGTCAGAGGCCGCAAAGGCACGACTCGGTCCAATGCTGCGGCGGCAGTTGTCTCCCAAGCCGCCGCCTGATTTTCCGCCGAGTCGTGGACCAGATCCTCCGGATATGGCCCAAGCTCCGTCAGGAACCTCTCAGGGTCCATCAGTCGCCTGGGACGGAACAATCTAGGTGGTTCCGTCTCCCTGCGGCGAGGGGGAGCGGTCCGGAAGTCCATCCTTAGGAGAGAATGATCTGACCATGACAAGGGCTCAATAACTATCTCCCCTAATGCCAGATCATTCTGCCACTGGCCCGAGACAAAAATCAGATCCAGCGTGTGTCCACCCGTGTGAGTGGGGGCATGTATTAATTGGGTCAAGTC